TTGGGGTTTTGCCTTCCAAAAAATGCACTGATGGCTGTCATTTCTATTGTTTTTCATGTGTTAATTTCTACTTTAATGTTCAGCTTCTCCCTGGGGCTAACTCCCCCGCCCATCACCACGAGTGGAATGCTTAATCCAGCCATGTCATTCACTGTATGGTACTCATGAATCCACTGATCTTCACATCCACATAATGGCTTTTCCTTTGACCAAGGGATCATTTAAATTGTTTATGTATTGATCCTATACCGGGTTTCGGTTTCTCTATTATGTAGTTAGAAAGCATGAATCACATATTTCTGCAAACAGCTGTGCTTGAGACTGTGAGGTGCTGGCTGGGGTTTGCCGTTCAAACACATTTGCCGTGGATTGCTATTCTATTTTGGGTTAAGGTATCAGGTCAGAGAACTTTTCTTCCCTTTTTAATAGTAGTGTACTGTTTTACTATGTGGATAAGATACATAGATTTAAATCACCTTTACATTAGGTAATGGAGCTGTTTAGAATATTGTCATTATGTAAATAAGGCTGTAAGCTTTCCCTTTCCCATTCCTCCCCAAGGATTTGCAGAAAGAAAAAGCAGGATTTCTGAATCAAAAGGTAGTGCCTGGAGGGATTATCTTTGTTAATTCTCATCCTTAGTTTGGCCTATTTTTTTCCTGTTTTTGTAAAATACCCCTCCCCTGCACTGTTAAAGGTGGGTTTTTGTTTTTGTTTTTCCTCTACTAGATTATTGGCACAGTCTCTGCTAGGTGCATGTGGGGGACTTCAATCTGTAGTTATTCCCCACTCAAAGATAATCTTAATTCTGTTAGCCACACCTCTCATGATGAGAACTGTGCTGGCACAGGAGTTTAGCTGCCCTACCCTTCCGGTACTCCTTCTCTTTCCACTGAGTCTTAGTGTGCACATGGGTCAGCTTCAAGGCCTAGGGTCAGGAGCTGTGAAATGCCACTACTGAAGCACAGCCGTCCTGTGGTTTTCAAATAAGGAATTTGTGTTTCTGAGATACACCCAGGTTGGCTTGGGAGGAACAAGCAAGTAAACAGAGCACTAAGCTGTCAAACATCCCTGAACTCACTCTAGAGAGTGATCCGGTGTGTGTTCGCACTTCCAGGCAGGACTCCAGGACGGCAAACAACCTAGGACCCAAGGTCTCCACTTTCAGAAAGTTACCTAGTGACAGACCAGAAGATAACTTCATTTCAGCTTTCTATAGTTGTCTTCTGATCAGGATATATCAGGCAGATACTCAAGGCTGTAATCCCAGAACTTTGGAGCCGGAGACAGGAGGCTTGCCTTGAGTTCAAGACCAGCTTGGGTCCTAAAGTGAGATCTAGTCTTAGGCAAAAACAAACTATACATTTCTCTGAAAACTATTTCACATATCAGAGATAAAACTGAGTAATTTTAAAGAAAGATCAGGGTGAGTTATCAGACACGAAGATAAAAGGTGGGAGCTGTTTTTTAAAATTTCAATGTTAGGAAATAGCCAGAAAAAAAAATCTAAATTATTTAAACCTTTTGGAATACTACTGACATCAATATCAATATCCCTGAAATGCCAAAAAAAAAAAAAAAAAGTACAAGGACAAACTCCTGACCAGATGCAAAAAAGTAAACTGTATGAAGCCAAGAAGCTGGTCACTTTTGTGTTAAATAGGCCATGACCTATACTATGTATGCATTCCACCACAACAAACACAAATAGTAGGATCATGCATCATCTGTCCATAAACATGAGCCTCTGGGATCAGAAATGAAACCTTTAAGACAAAGCTTTATAACGGTATTGGTATAAAAAGGGCACAAGTCAAATAAGAATAAAGCTTTGGGGTGGGTTACTGCGCAGTTTGGGTCCTGGAACCTTGACTAGGGGTGAGGGGAAAATGGAGAAAAGACGAACACCCAGACACATGTGGCCAGGTGGGGGTGTGCATGCTGATGGAGGACCCAAAACCCACTGTTTGTTCTGTAGAGCACACGTGAAGGGGCTGGCTAGTCTTGGTAGGAAGTATTTAATAGGTGAGCAGGCTCAGGCTGTAAACACCAGGGAGAAGGAAGCTGCAGTCACTTGTTTACACTGGAAGCCCCAGCAAGTTTAGCCACTCATCTTGAGCATGGCCTGTAGGAATTGCTTTGCCAATTGACTATGGGGATAACGGCTTAGGAATCTTTATCATGGCTGTGTCTATGTCAATGATATAGTCACTCAGAGCTTCCTCATTCTTCAACAATTGGAGCTCTGAAATCTGAAATCTTAATACCACCACTGCCTGGTTCTAAAATCTGTTTAAACTCTTACCTTCCAACTCCTTTCTTTGCACTAACACCACACCACTACTGCCCCACCATTTTTGCAAGAGGGTTTATACAGTATTAAAGTGTCAAGGAATTTAGAGGATATACACCTAGAGGCATCAACACACGTATTTAGGATACAACAGAGTTATAGGTTAAAATTTGTTCGTTTTTAAACTACATTTATTTATGTGTGTGTGTTCATGCATGCTATGGCAAACATATGAAGGTGAAAGGACAGCTTGATGGGTTCTCTCTGTCCACCAGCCACCAACCTCAGGTTGTCAGGGTTGGTGGCAAATGCCTTTACTTGCTAGGCCATCTTGATAGCCCTGTTTGATTTCCTTACAATATTGTAGCAAAAGCTGAGGGTTCTGTTCTGGGCTCAAACTGGTCCTACACTTTAAATTTTCTAAGCCTTTTTGTATGTAATAATTTCATGCTTTCTGGCCATAAATGCAGGTGTCAACAGCAGCGAGAACTGCACTTTACTAAACCTGGCTAGCTTTTGAGAGTGCAGATTTGGGAGAGGAGATGTGGCTTGGCTGGCAGACCTGCCTAGTGTGTACTGGATATGGCCTGGGTTCAAGGTCCAGCACTGCATAAACAGCACAGTGAAAATATCTGTAATCCCAGCACTTGGGAAGCAGAGGCAGCAGACTCAGAAGTTTAAGGTCACCCCCCGGCTATACACAGAGTTGGAGGCCAACCTAGGCATCATAAAATCCTATCTTTAAAGCAATGACCTGGCTAATTCTGGAGTACAGAAATAACTTAAGGGGTGAACCCATGTTGTTGAAAATCAAGATGGTTTGAACTCATGCCCAGAGATATGTTTATTGTACTTGAATGATTCAAAAACATTTAGGTGAGGCTCTTCAATTCCAATGAGGACATTTCAAACATTTACTTATTAAGAAATTGTAAACACTCAAGACAAAATTTGCAAACAAACTTTTCTCTACAAAATATACGCATGTAAGTATGTATTTCTTAGATGGTGTGTAGCCCACTCTTTTCTTGGTAATCTTCATAAAAGCGCATCAGTGACTCTGGGATTCTAGGTGTCACAATGCTCAAGGCTTGAGTAAAATGTTTCTTCATAATGCGGTCAGCTTTAATGTCTTCTTCCAGGGCGAGGAGAGCGGCCTCCTTACAGACGGCTATGATCTGTAATTGAACAAGTAAAACGAGGGAGAAAGCAGTTAAGCACTCTTTTGTCAACAAACTTTTCAGCATATTTATTTGTGGTGTGACATCTAAAAAAACTTTAATATCTGTCTGATATTATACTATAATTACATCTTTCCCCCTTCCCTTTCTTGTCTCTCTAAAACCTACTATGTACCCCACCACCATCTTTCAAGTTCATGCCCTCTTTTCTTTGCTATTTGTGTGTGTGTGACGGGGGTAGGGGTGTGATTCTAAATATGTACATACAACTTGCTCAGACTATAGTCTTATTTGTATGTATGTTTTCATGGCTGACCAACTGGGTGCTCTTAGCATTGTTTAGCTGCTGTGTATGGTTGAGGTCTTGTGGGCTTTTCATGTTAGCATGTCTACAGGTATTGTCCTTGTTCAGGTCACATTCAGGCAGTCATGCTGATGAGACTTCATACTGGGTATAGCTTCTGACACGTGGTATGACTTCTGCATTATAAGCATATCCCTGTGGGAGTTACTCAACTTAAGGCTTGGTTTTTGATGGTGCAATAAATGGACCCAGGGCCTTACATATATTAGGCAAACCCTCTACTTTAAGCATACAAATCAGAGTGTTCTTTCCAGAGTAGACCAGAACCATCACAAAGACCAACAACCAGCATCTACTGTTAACTGTGTGGATTGGATGTGCCACCCTACTTCCATCCCCACTCCCAACACAGGATGGCCAAAGGCAGGCTGCCTGTGAGCTGGAGGGAGGGAACCCTTAGCAGAGGTACCGTGATGCACAGCGGGCCTGCTAATCAGCACCCTTTTCAGGCACAGGGTTTATACACTGCCTTGCTGTATGACCAGAATAGGCAGCATTCCTTTCTCGTATCTCTTTCATGAGCTCTTGACTCCTGGTAATATCAGAGGAGTGGACTGTTTCGTCAGGGAGGGAAGGTGAGCATGTGAGAGGGAAATGCAAGGGAAGAACAGTTCTCTGGATTTCAGAGAGCTGAAACAGGCCCAGGCCACTGTCATTCCAAACTGTATTGATGTAGTGAACAAGCTTACTGGACGAGAAGAGGATTTCAATTTTCAGGGCAATAGGGAAAACAATTAGCAATACCAACCACACCTTATATAGGTGAATGAAAGGCCGGGGAATGGGTTCCAGCCATGCAGCCACACAGTCTGCCCATTTACTGCAAATCGTTCCTCTGGTTAGCTGGGTTAATGGTGCCAAAGTGGTTGAATAGTTTTCTAGGGGATTTAGCAGCATGTTTAGACAGTTTTCAAACACACACACACAAGGCAGGGACTGATTGATTTGAGTGGCCTGGTCAAATTCCAATAATTTAACTATTAGTTCTGGGTGTCATTAATGAGCACATAGCTAACTGCATTGACATGATGTCAATGCTTTTCTGAAAATAGAGTGGTCACCAAATTGCTAAGGCAGAAAACACAGCAAACGATCCCTGGTGATCTCAGTGGAAATTTGAGCCTCCACAAAGGGAGGTGAGGGACCTCAACTAAGAAGCACATCTTTCATCTTGACAAGGCTTGAAGTGTCACTGGAGAAGCAGGAAATGCTGGGTGCCGGAGTATCCCTTCTGCATACTTCATAGCGCAGGGAATATCTCTAGAGTGTGGCTCTTTGATAAGGGAGAGAAAAGTGCTAGACCTTGGGTCCGTAACACATTTTCCTTACCTCACCTGAGTCTTATACCAGAAAACAGAGCCCAGCACGCAATTATTTTGAATATCTCCTATAAGTGCTAGACAGACACCACTTCTTTACTTCTTCATTTACTGTTACCGATACTCAGGTTTTGCACCCCGACTGAAGCATGTACTGAACCACAGGAAACATATGTGATGTGGTGTTGGGAAGGGGAACGTGGTAAGAAAAGAGATGCTAAAAAGGATGCCTGGAACCTGTAAGTTCTGGGTTCTCATGGTCAGAAGGTGGATGGATAGCACTGTGGAACACTGGGGCAAGGGAATCAATGGTCTGGTCTGGCAGGCTTCTTGAAAGCATGCAATGATTAAACTGGGACAGAAAGAAATGACTATCCTGGCTGCTTAAATGCAAATGCTTATAACTTGAGGTTCTTACTATGGATCATTATCTGAGATTGGCCTTGATTTAATAAATTTCATTTATGTTGTGGGATAGAACTTTGAAAGAGTCCACTGGGAAATATCTGGATTAGATGGGATGTTCTGTGGAACCTTTGAAGGAAGACAATGTGAGACAGGTGCTGAAGACAGGGCCTGATGGCCCCATGCTGCTACAGAGCCACGGGTGTGGCCCAGAGGAGTAAACTACAAGCTTTATGAGGTGTTCTGGTAACTCAACTCAAGGTTCTCAGTTCATCTCTAGATAAAATATTACCACAATGCACCAACTAGACACCTCTGGAAGGAGCTACTGCTGTATTTACTACTGGTAAGTTTAGCACTTACTTTGACAACTTTTACCTTGTTTCTTTATCACGATAGGGAATGCTTGAAAGAAGCAATTACATAATCCTTTCTGTAAAAAACCTCATCTTTTGCTTTTCTACCACATTTACTTAGCAATATACAACTAAAAATAGGACAGCATGGATTCCTTAGCCAGGCTTCCACTCCTTAGTCAATACCAAGGGGCTAGCTGCTCCGGGCAGCAACTACAGAAGGTCAACTGCAAGATTCAGGGTGTGAGGAACTGTATCTGTCTTCCTGTCCCCACACACCAGCAGGGGATAGACACAGATTGACTGCCAGGAAGGAAAAATCACGGTATTTTGTGTGGAAAGAAGACACTGTCATCTTGTAAACCCAAGTGTGAAGAACAAAATTTACACTTACACACACACACACACACACACACACACACACACACACACACGTATCTGATTAGATGAAACAAAAGTGAGCAAAGATAGCTGGAGAAGTCTCTCAGTGGTAAAATCTCTATGCACGAGTCTGAGTTTAATCTCTAGAGCCCATGGTGGAAGGAGAGAACCGACTTCCATGTGTGCTATCGCTTCAGGAACCAAAAAAGAAAATTAGAGTAATTTTGAAAAGAGCTTTAGAAGTCACCAATAGCAGCAAAACTGATGATATTAGTCTCCTGAAGCCCTTAACCCAACCTGCTGACAGAGCAGGCACTGAGGTCCTCTTTGTTTTCACTTGTTCCTCACAGAAGACCTCCAGGAGGAATCCAAAGGAGAAGTGTTGTGATTACCAGCTCTTTTCTTCTAATTTAAATAATGGGAGGGTCTGGAAATGTAAATACTTCACAACCAGGGGTTTCCTCTTCTGTTCTAGAGACCACCCTGAGAAGACTTCCAAGATAGCACATTTCTCAAGAAAAATAAATGTAGCTCAGCTCCATGGACCAAGTCAACATGGGTGATAACAATGATCAGTACTCCATGAATAAAGAATTTAAGCCAACATAAAACACATTCTGTTCCACCCAGGAACAGGTAGAGGAAGGGAAGCTGACGAACTTTGTAGTTCAGCAATGACAGCTGCTCAGTCTGCTCTAACCCACTTATCTTAGTATTTTGTCCCCAAGTGTGGTGGTTTGAATGGAAATGGCCCCTATAGGCCGACAGGGAGTGGTACTTGTTGGAAAGAGTATGACATGGGTTGGGGGGGGGAGGCAATTCAAATGCTCAAACCAAGCCTAGTGTAGCTCTCTTCCTGTTGCCTGAGGACCCAATTAATATTTTCCCTTGTAAGGAGAGTTGCTGAGGTCATGGTGTCTCTTCACAGCAATAGAACTTTGACTATGACACCAAGATTCACACGCTGGAGCCTAATCTCCAAGACAGTAGCACTGGGATGCAAACCACTAGATCTCCACCTGCATGGACAGGCCTAATACCCTATAGAAGGGTCCTCAGAGCTGGTTAGATCCGTCTACTACATGAAGACTCAAGTGAGAAAGTTCTGTCTTGGAGGAACAAATCCACGTGCCTGGTTTGGGGTTCCACAAGCACCCAAATAGCCAGTCAATCTAACACAGTACCTGAGATCAGGTAAGACCCAGTGCTTCCCACAGAACTCTTCTCCCCTCCTAATTTTAGCAGACCACCAATCGTTTTATTACTGACCTTATCTGTTTCCTTTTTATTATATTTGATTATTTTATCTGGAGGCGGTGTGTGCATGCTACAGCACAAGTGTGGAGGTCAGAGAACAAAGGGTAGATGTCAGTTCTTTCCTTCTATCATGCGTGCCCTGGGGATTGACCGCAGGTTGTCAGGTTTAGCAACAAGCCATCTTGTTGGTCCTTACTGGTGATCTTCAGCATGGCTATACCAGAAAACTTGCTCAATGCCAACAGTGCAGTTCTTTTCCATTTTATATCCTTTCAAACTCTGTTCTCTTGCATTTCAGAATAGAGACAAAAGGAAAGAGCTGAGGGCAGATGCAAGGGGAACGGACATGCTGAGTAGCTAAGGAGAGGACTACAGAGCCAGACAAGAGCCACAGCTCTCCCTCACTCATGCTTTGTACTGAGCATGTTTGGAACTATCATCAATTCTACATGTTCAGCTATGGCACTGTGGTCAGGGTCTGTAGAGCCTTTACATGTATTGTATATACGCTTGTCAATAATACTTTTAAGTTTCTGAAACAAAGAGGAATCAACAATAAACACTGTTTCTGACCACGCTGTGTTTTGGTCTGGAATGCTACTTTGGCTTCAGTCACTTCTGTGTAAGTTAAATGAGTTAGAAACTCTGTTGAGAACACAAGTGTGTTCTGAGGGTATTTCTTTGGGTTATCAAGATTTGTCACACAGGGACAGAGATGTTTCTGCAAAAAAGTGCAGTGATATATATTAGTTTGGAGAGCTTAAATGGAAGTTTGTTAAAAACAAAACATGCAGATGGATATTTCCCCTGGGGTAGGAACCCTGCAACAGGGAACCTGTCCTTGGCCTTCTTCCTGCAGTAAGCATTGGGAGGATGAGCACATTTTCTCAGATAAAGTTGCCCACATGTCCTCTGGGAATGAGAAATGACAAGGAAAAGCTTTCAATCTAACTACGATTGTATGGTAGTTTATATAATAAAGTCCATAAAAAGAAAACCCAGTGAGACGAGCTTGTGTGTGAGGTCTGGACTGACCACCTGACTGTTTCGACAAAGCACACATGCATTACCCATCATGCCCCAAACCAGACGTCCAGGTCTGTTTTAGTCACTGGGATTCATTTCAATTTTACCCTTTTCCCCTGAGGCCACAGAAGAACTCTGCTGAGAAGACGTGTAGATAAATGGATGACTTTGACTCATAGTCAGGAATATTTGATTAGACTGCTCAGAAAGAAAATCCTTGGCTATTTGAGTTTTCTAACTGCTTTAGCAAAGAGGGTTTTAGAAGCTAGCCTTAATTTCTTCAGCATCCTGCCCTTACCCCCGATAGTGCAGGCTACATATTTTAAAGGAGTTATCAGCAAGCTGTCAGAATGGTGTGTGTGTGGGGGGGGGGGGTGGCTTTGCCAATAGGCTACAAAATGAGTGTGTAATATTCTCATTCAGTTTTGACTAAACAATCAATACCTAAACTTTCATATGTGCCTTGCTGTGAGGTTGAAAACATGTTTGTGAGAATAAGAAAATGAGACAAAAATTATTGGACTGTGCTAAGCTCTTTCTGTCAAATCCAGACTAAGATGTGTTTACTTCAGCAGCTACCACACACTTTATTTGATGTCTATAGAACACAAATTTTCTTTCCATTCATTTGGCAATTAAAATACATCTGCTGACCTAACAAGAATACAAGACAAACGGGAACACCATGTGAAAGAGTGAATTTGAGATGGACATCTAAGAGGAAAACTCTGTTATTAAAAACATCTACAAATTACCAGGTTCACCTAACAGAGAGGAAAGTAGTCAGCAGTGGAGACAGAGGCTTAAGCGAGTACAAATTTCATTTTCTGTGTGCGCTCTGCAGCAGCAGTACCCTTAGCAACACACAGTAATAGAGCTGCAGCAGGCACATGGCGAAGCAGTGCCCCAAGATGAGAAGGCGGTTGGCCACTGAGCCTTGGGAAATCTAATTACTTCACTTCTAGATGCAAAAGGACAAAAGAGGCAATTGTGTGGAATTCTGAATGCCATAAAGAATAAATAACGTTGTACTTCACTGTGGGAGAAAAAAAAATGAAATCTCTTATATATAAACTCTGGTTCTTTCCCCAATCTACCAGAGCAGTAGGGTTTGAACAGGGTGTCTTGGCATAGCAAATTAGAAGCAGGACAACAGCAAAAACTAAAACCAACACAGCTTCTGAGCAGACAGCAAAGGTTTTTAAAAACATGATAAAGAATAAGTCAAGGTCACCACTGTCTAGTAAAAAGTAGTCAATAGAAAGAACTTGACCATGCTTGGCAGTTTCCTGGACTTTATCCCCTGTGTGCTAGAGCCCTCTCTTTTATTGTTTGTTTCAGCTTCACAGTGGAACTGGCTTCTTTTCTGGTGCATTTAGCATCAGAAACGGTAACTTCAGCAGTTACCTCCATTTCCAGGCATGGCCTGGGTAAACCTGCTTCCTGCTACCAGACAAGCACAGGGAAACACAAGACAAACAGGGAAACACACACACATTCAACACAAGTAGGTTGAATGTGTGGGGATGTGGCAGGGTGGCGAACTTGCTTCCTGCCTTAAACACCAAGTGACACAATCAATAAGTGAGCAACCCTGCAGACCTTAGACTGGACAGAGAATAGGTAGATCTGGAGATAATAGAACCAGGTTCAACGGGCAGAAGAGAACAAGGTGACTTTAGATGGGAAAAGTCCTCCCTACCCCACCCCCTCTTTACACTCTGGCTGTCCTAGAACTCACAGAGATCAGACTGCCTCTGTCTCTCCAGTGCTAGGATTAATTCAAGGCGTGTGCCACCATGCCTGGCTACTTTTTTTTTTAAAAGGTTTATTTTATGCCTAAGAGTGTTTTGCCTAAATGTATGTCTATGTACTGTTGTGTGCCTGGTGCCTGAGAGGTCAGAAAGGGAAGCTGAATCCCCTGGAACTGGAGTTCTGTTATCTCTCTGGGTGCTGGAAACCAAACAAGTGCTGCTAACCACCGGACCATCTCTCCGGTTCCTTTTTTAATTTTTGATGGTGAATGAAGTGCCTCTGTTTCGTGTGCTCTATCACCAAGCTACATATTTTTAGTATATCAAAACAAATCTCCACCCACCAGGGTCTTATGTATCATAGTTGGCTCTGAACTTGCAGGTAGCTGAGGATAATGTTGATTCTCTTGCCTCCACTTCCCCAGTGCTGGGGTCACAGGCAAACTCCATCATGCCCTGTTGTGCTGGAGGCCAAACCCTGAGCCTCCTTCATGCTGGGCAAGCACTGTACCACTTGAGTTACATCTCAACCACCACACTTAGTTGGAAAAGTATTTCTTGATAGCTGAACTCATGCCCTTCTTAGTAGCACTCCTCAGGACAGTTTAGAACATACATGGCAGTTCAGCTTCCAGCGTACCGGCGTGATAGTGACTTCAGAGTGCAAAGGTACAGACATACTGCTGCTCCGTGCTGGAGCTGTCGAGCTGCCCCTTCAGGCTTCCGACTGCACTGAAGACAGACCCCTTCCTTCCCTTGCAGCTGCACAATGAACTCACAATGGCCCAGAAGCTGTCTGTGCTACTCCTGCTGTTTGGCAGGAAGAAAGCACACCATCTAGCGAGGCCTAATCTCAGCTTCTTTGTATTTCAAGTGTAGTAAATAGCTTTTAAAAAATCCACCAAAAGAAACAGGCCATGGTGCTTAAAAAATCTTGTATTCTCAGAAAGTGGTTTTGTTAAAAGCGTCTTCTGTCTGGAACACCTGTGACCTGTTGAGCTTAATTGGGCTGCAGCTGGCGCCGATTGTGGCGCTGCCGCTGGAGCACCGGCGCGGACATTGTGCTGTCCTGGCACGCCCACCCCCCTTCTCTTTGCTTTTCACTTTCACAGTCCTGAGACCTCCTTCCCCTGTGTGTTGGAGGGATTAGGAACCCAGTGAGAGTGGTGTCTTGCTGTTCCTGAACAGCATGCTTGGGAGGTGCTTCAAGGAGGCTACCTGGGAGATTATGCTCCTGTGCTGGGAGGGCGGGAGGGTCATTGAACTGCTGAACTGACTGAAAGGCTAGCTTGAAAGGTGGGTCTGGGGCAGCGCAGCAGGCTTGGCGGGAGTAGGGGCAGATGAAGTGGGGCTTTCACAGACACAGGGAGGCAAGCCCGGCACTGCCGCCAGCAGCTCAGGGACCCTCGCTGCCTTGCAGAGGGAACAAATTAATTAAGGGTCGCTCACAGCACCTATCCTTTAAAATGTTTCTTCACTGAAAAACTTCTAAGTGGTGAGGCAAGAACTGAAGTTTAGAGTAATAATACCTAACTATGATCTTATGCTGAATTCCCTTGCAAACAATCTTCACCACTTTAAGCTTGGGCTCAAAGTTATAGAATGCCATGCATAGCACTCCGTTCAAAATAAAGCAAAAATGTCTATAACACACATTCACACCCAATGACAGAGTGGGGAAAACATTTGGTGGTTTAACTTTGATGATTAGAAGTTACTCTGAGGTCTTTGGGACATGGTTAAATAACTCTGCTTTTGGAGCAAAACTTTTCATTATTTTTCACAAAGAAATGCCTGCAATGTTTTTTTTTTGTTTTTGTTTTTGTTTTTTTTTTACACATGATCTGGGCACTTGAGAAGGCTGATGCAGAAAGACTTAGTCTGAGGCTAGCCTGGTCTACACAGTGAGTCCTAGGCCAGCCTGGGCTCAAGACAAAAGAAAACACAAAAGAAAATTTACACACAGATCAAGAATCCTGCAGAAGTTCTGGGCTGCAAAGAGCGGAATACTATTTGTTCCTATGGAATTTCAAGAGTTTCTACTTTCAATGGAACCATCATAACAAGATAAAAGAGGGGTATTTTTGGTTTTGAAAAGAAACTATCATGGAATGAACAGGGCAGGAAACACTCCAGTGCAATGCTAAGATGGACCAGCTGGCAGGAGCCCCATTCTCTGGTCTCTCAAAGAATCTGACTGCCTACAAGGCAGCAGGATCCAGGGAACACATCAGTAAAACCCAAAGCTCATGTTAACGCAAGGTGTGCATAGGGCCTCTCTCTAGTCTTCCTTCAGTGTAGTACTGATGCCTCAGCGAGCAGGTGTTTCATGGCCCACAAATAACTCTGGTTTCAGATTCTAACTAATTGTCTGCTGCTTGAACTGTTTCCACTACCACAATTGTCAAGATTTAGAGTTACCTGTGCTAAATGGCTATTCCCTACAAGTTCTGTGAAGGCCTTGCAGGCTCAGCCCTGTTTTACTTCGAAGACACACTAGGTTAGAACATCAGACCTCCTGCTGTTCATTATCTCTGAAGATACACACGAGCAAGCTTTTGCCTTTTCAGTTGTCTTCAAGCTAATTTTACCTCGAGTATAAGAGAGCACCATCATCCTGGGCACAACAAACACCCCATGATGCTGTGTCATTTATGAGACCTTGTTTGCTGGGAGAGCCCTAAAGCAGGCACCAGAGTTTTTGTTGTTTCTGAGACAGGTACTCTTTATGTAGTCCAGGATTCCCTTATAAATCTGGAGGATCTGATCCTCTATACCAGTATTCTG